CATCACTAACACCAAAATGACAGATTGCTTAGATTATTTTTTATTAGTTTTTCAATGAGGCTCTACAAGGATTACATTAAAGGCGATAATATGTAAAAATATGATCCTTTGCCCCATTTACTTGTCTGAAAAACGTAAACCGCTCCTACGTGGTCCGCCACTTTGAATCTGAAAACCGGCTCACGAGGTGCTATTTTGACACCCTAAGTTTAACTCTCAAAACGGTGCTACTTTAACACTTTCACTCAATAGAATGGGTGTTATTTTAACACCCTAGAAAAGTGTTAAATATCTATGGTGCTAATTTAGCACTTCAAAATCAATTCCCAACTTCATGGTGTTAATTCAGCACCCAAATTGGTGTTAGATTAACACTTTTTATTTAACACCACCACAAGGTGTTATTTTAACACCTACGAAGGTGCTATTTTAACACCTTCAAATTAACAGTGCAGATAATTTTACAAGGACGCTTATATCGTAAATATTATTTGAGTTCGTAGGCCTACAGTTGCTTAAAACAAAGTAACTATTTTCATCACAGCAATATGTATATATATATATATATATATATATATATATATATATATATATATATATATATATATATATATATATATATATATATATATGTATATATATATTATATACATATATATACCCCGGCGCGCGCACGAGGGTGTTAATTCTGTACGGCTATTTACACACGGGAAAAGAAGGCTTCTAGCTGTTTCAAAAGTTGGGAAGTGGGTGGTCATCTCACTGATCTCAAAATATGGCGGACTGCCAGGAGTGGAATGATGCAACTGCCAAAATTTCTGTTGAAAAGAATGAAAACATATGAAAAAGTCGTTTCATGTAAGGTTGCAAGGAACGTTCACGCGTTTGATGTAAAGTGGCGCGCTTTTTTAATTTTTCTTTAAAGAAATGACAAGAAGAGATATAAGATGAGACATTTAAATTTAAACCAAGTTTTTTTGGGTTTTTTTTATGAGTTTTCCACTTGCCTCCGAAATTACCGTGTTTTATATTAAAAAGCTTAATAATAGAGAATTAACAAAATATATTCCAAGAGGGAACTGTATGATTGAACTGATTTCGTTGCAACAAATAATCGTATAACTAAGTTAAATAGTTAATCGGCAAATGAAACTACCAAACAATTGAACAGCATATAATATAAAGTTTATAAATGAACATTTCGTGAAGCGTTTAATTAAGGTTGAACATTACCTTAAATTCAAGCATATAGGCTGAAATAAAAACATACCTACTTTATATATTGTAGAAATTGATAGTTCGAGAGTTAAAAGATTTAAACTTCAGAAATATTTTTTGCTGTTTTTAACGAGAAATGAAAAATTAAAAACAATGATCGTGTATTCGTGTTACCATTTCGAATATGACGAGGGCAACGAGGGCCTGCGTACATTGGTGGCGTAATTTAGAATTTTATTTTAATGTTAAAAAAAGGAAAAGAAAGGCGAGGGGTTAACGCATGCATATATGTACAATGTTTGAAAATGTTCGAGTGAAGAGTTAAATGTAGTAATGGCATTAATCTATAACTCAACATTATATCGTAGATGTGATATGTTTAGGGAATTTTAATTCCACCGGCCTCATTACGAAGGTTTGGATTACATCAGCTACGATTGAGATTTTGATGGATGGAATTTAGCCTAATGCAAGTCAAAAGGTGCAAATGTGCAATGAAACAAATCGTATAGTACAAAAACGCACGGCTCTTCTCGTAGACTATACGCAAGCTACATTACATATGCAATAAAATGGCAATTTTATTCTACATCACGTGATCATAATCAGCAGCAAAATGACCAGAATTTAATAAAATGTTATATAAAATGGAACGTAATTATGATTTGTTCAATACACAAGATAGCGAAATATCTATATCCAAAAAATTGTTGTTAAACTTACGTTGTCCAGATGCAAGAGGGATGAACCTGAATATTAAAAGAACGAACCCTGTAAATAGAAATAACATGCACAGTCAATATGATTGAGAAATAATAATTTTAACTCTGCACAGAGTACGAAGCCCAAAATTAAAAAATTAGAAAAAGGCAAACGATCGAGACGAACAAAGGGCTATTTGCTTTACAGCGATGCCCGCTATAATTATAACGGGAGGAGTAGTCATTTTGCAACCGATAGGCATGCAGGCGACTGTAGGAGCGAAGATTATGCTTTGAAGATGAAATGGCGAATTTTTAAAAACTTTTTGCGTTCATCGATCAATTTTATTCTCTGAGGCCAATGGAAGATATTATTTAGTATTGACCGACCTAAACAGTAATATATAACGTGCTTATTTTTTCATTTGACGGTGTTCTTTTCGTGGTATATTGAAATACGTTTATAGTACATACAACACGTGTGCAAAATTTCAACATAGGTCACCGCACAAAATAACTAGATACAGCGCGCTGTTTTCAAAATTTCAAACATTTCTAATTACGTCAGCATTCGTGGTTTCACCATCAAAAACTTACTTCAGAATTGGATAACAAAATTGATGTAGGACAATAAGCGCTGAAAGGACACTCAACAACTGATGCCCTGCTATATTTACTACAAGCTACCTGTATATTTCAGGCATTTGATCGTGGAAATACAGCTGCCCGTATCTTTTTTGCGGACTTCTCTAAAAGGATTTGATTTGATTGATCACATTTTACTGCGTGAGTTGGAAACGTTGAGTGTTTCCCCTGTGCTCATTAGATGGATCGCGGCATTTTTAACTAATCGACACCAAGGTGTAAATATTGAAGATTCTGCGTCAGAAAGGAGAACAGTTAAGATAGGAATTCCACAAGGAACGAAGCCAGGAGTAATTTTATTTGCAGTAATGACAAACGGACTAATCGCAGATTGGCTTTAAGAATCAAGTTTGTTGAAGATACCTCTGCCTTAGAGATCTTACCAAGAAATTCCATCAGCTTACTTAACTATGTAGTAATGGACATCCATGAATTTGCTAGTAGTCATACTCATAATATGAAACTTAACCCAGGGAAGTGATGCCTTGAGGAATTCGTCACGTCAGGTCATATAATATGTAAGGCCTGTTTTATACGTCGAATTTCGGCAGGGCATTTTTTTAAGAATTCGTCAGTGGGGGGGATCTACAAAAAGGGACCACACTATACCGAGTGTGGAGAAATGATAGATGGTATGACAACAAGTTTGGGGTCTGAAGGTATACTCCCCTGAAAATTCTTGAATTTTTTTACCCCTATGCCAGCAATTCCCTGATTTGGGGATATACAGCATTACATTATGCTGTAGATAGACTGAACCTCAACCTTCAGTTATGTACTTGCATAGTAGGCTATGTTTATGTAGATACCACAACTTGGTCACTCAGGGACACGACTCCCACGAAGCGCCACCATGGTTGGAACAGAGCGGGAAAAGTTTGAATATTTTGCGTCTCTAAATCGTCGGAACTGGCATTTTCAAAATATTCTGTATTTTTTTGTTAGGCCCTTTCATTAATTCGTTCATTATGATTTGTGAGTCTATGCTATCCGCGAGTCAGGATGGATTATTACGAGAAATGTTGTTATCAAAATATTGATTACAGATATTTGATTATATATACTTCTAGTTTCGAAATCAATTTGGTTTTTTTTTGGTGGGGGCGAAATTATCCCCCTCTTATAAAACACTGGGTTGGGGGCTCGTTGGCCTCTGAGGTCACTAACTTGTTTAGTCGAGCTTCCAGCAACTCAAATCTATAGGGTCTAGGAAATGCAATCCACCGGAAAATGTTTAAAATCTAATAAGGTATTTACAACACAACGTTTAGCATTAAAGAAAAAAGAAAGGACATAAGACTTACAAAGCAAATTTCAGACTTTCAGTTACTAGAATATCAAACATCCCTTCTAAATTCCATGTTTTGCTTATATTTTAAAGAAAAGGAGTTTTGACTGGAGGAGGGGCAAAATGGTTTAATGGGGGGGCACGATGGGGCTGGGGGGTTTTTTGTTAAAAAATGCCCTGAATTTCGGTCGCGTCGAATGCAATGCAAACAATAGATAACGAAGCCTAATGAGGTTTATCATCTCATTATCTAATGTCTTAATTGCATTCGACGCGACCAAAATTCGACGTATAAAACGTCGTCCTTTCGTTAATATTCCTGGCGACAGGAATGCTTATATATAGCATAAGTTTTTGTTTCGCGATTCCTGTATAAGGGTTGCCATTAATATGTGTAGCTACTGTACCTTAAGCAAAATTACCTTTTTCCATGTAATATGTCACCAGTTTGATTGTGTGATGTTACTCTGAGTGTATATCCACACCGGGCAGGCTTGAAAAATATGCCTGGTCACGGCGGGATTCGAACCTACAACCTTTGGAATACTAGCCCAATGCTCTTCCAATTGAGCTACGCGGTCAGGTCGGTTCGAGTATGCGATATTTCGGAACTGAGCTAGTCTAGTTCCTTCGATATCAGTGTAATATATCTAATAATCATGAAATGGAAATTTTGGAAGAGCATTGGGCTAGTATTCCAAAGGTCGTAGGTTCGAATCCCGCAGTGGCCAGGCATATTTTTCAAGCCTGCCCAGAGTGGATATACACTCAGAGTAACATCACACAAACATCTTATTTACCTGAGTACATTACACCAACACAGCAGATTTCATGATTATTAGATTACACTGATATCGAAGGAACTAGACTCAGTTCCGAAATATCGCATGCTCGAATGGACCTGACCGCGTAGCTCAATTGGAGCGGCATTGAACTAGTATTCCAAAGGTCGTAGGTTCGAATCCCGCCTTGACCAGGCATATTCTTCAAGGCTGCCCAGTGTGGATATACACTCAGAGTAACATCACACAAACATCTTATTCACCTGAGTACATTGCACCAACACAGCAGATTTCATAAATATTAGATTACACTGATATCGAAGGAACTAGACTCAGTTCCGAAATTTCGCTTACTCGAAACGACCTGACCGCATAGCTCAATTGGAAGAGCTTTTGAATAGTATTCCAAAGGTCGTAGGTTCGAATCCTGCCGCGGCCAGGCATATTTTTCAAGCCTGCCCGGTGTGGATATACACTCAGAATAACATCACACAAATATCTTATTCACCTGAGTACATTACACAAACACAGCAGATTTCATGATTATTAGATTACACTGATATCGAAGGAACTAGACTCAGTTCCGAAATATCGCACACTCGAACCGACCTAACCGCGTAGCTCAATTGGAAGAGCATTGGGCTAGTATTCCAAAGGTCGTAGGTTCGAATCCCGCCGTGGCAAGCCTTATTTTTCATGCCTGCCCGGTGTGGATATACACTCAGAGTAACATCACACAAACATCTTATTCACCTGAGTACTTTGCACCAACACAGCAGATTTCATAAATATTAGATTACACGGATATCGAAGGAACTAGACTCAGTTCCGAAATATCGCACACTCGAACCGACCTAACCGCGTAGCTCAATTGGAAGAGCATTGGGCTAGTATTCCAAAGGTCGTAGGTTCGAATCCCGCCGTGGCAAGCCTTATTTTTCATGCCTGCCCGGTGTGGATATACACTCAGAGTAACATCACACAAACATCTTATTCACCTGAGTACTTTGCACCAACACAGCAGATTTCATAAATATTAGATTACACGGATATCGAAGGAACTAGACTCAGTTCCGAAATATCGCACACTCGAACCGACCTAACCGCGTAGCTCAATTGGAAGAGCATTGGGCTAGTATTCCAAAGGTCGTAGGTTCGAATCCCGCCTTGACCAGGCATATTTTTCAAGGCTGCCCAGTGTGGATATACACTCAGAGTAACATCACACAAACATCTTATTCACCTGAGTACTTTGCACCAACACAGCAGATTTTATAAATATTAGATTACACGGATATCGAAGGAACTAGACTCAGTTCCGAAATATGGCATACTCGAAACGACCTGAACGCATAGCTCAATTGGAAGAGCTTTTGAATAGTATTCCAAAGGTCGTAGGTTCGAATCCTGCCGCGGCCAGGCATATTTTTCAAGCCTGCCCGGTGTGGATATACACTCAGAATAACATCACACAAATATCTTATTCACCTGAGTACATTACACAAACACAGCAGATTTCATGATTATTAGATTACACTGATATCGAAGGAACTAGACTCAGTTCCGAAATATCGCACACTCGAACCGACCTAACCGCGTAGCTCAATTGGAAGAGCATTGGGCTAGTATTCCAAAGGTCGTAGGTTCGAATCCCGCCTTGACCAGGCATATTTTTCAAGGCTGCCCAGTGTGGATATACACTCAGAGTAACATCACACAAACATCTTATTCACCTGAGTACTTTGCACCAACACAGCAGATTTTATAAATATTAGATTACACGGATATCGAAGGAACTAGACTCAGTTCCGAAATATGGCATACTCGAAACGACCTGAACGCATAGCTCAATTGGAAGAGCTTTTGAATAGTATTCCAAAGGTCGTAGGTTCGAATCCTGCCGCGGCCAGGCATATTTTTCAAGCCTGCCCGGTGTGGATAGACACTCAGAATAACATCACACAAACATCTTATTCACCTGAGTACATTACACAAACACAGCAGATTTCATGATTATTAGATTACACTGATATTGAAGGAACTAGACTCAGTTCCGAAATATCGCATGCTCGAAACGACCTGACCGCATAGCTCAATTGGAAGAGCTTTGGGCTAATATTCCAAAGGTCGCAGGTTCGAATACTGCGGTGGCCAGGCATATTTTTCAAGCCTGCCCGGTGTGGATATACACTCAGAATAACATGACACAAACATCTTATTCACCTGAGTACATTACACCAACACAGCAGATTTTATGTTACCAATTATCCAGAAGTCATGCAGTTTGTCATGAAATGAAATCATATTGTCAAACCATACGAGAAAGAACAACATAGCTCAACAGGAGTCATATTTAATTAAAAATCACATGCTGACTTTAAGATCTACATATTAAACACATTTTCCGAGTATAAAAATGCTTCTTATTAATATCAACATTAATAAGTAGAAAATACTTCCTCAAGGTTTGCAAGTGAAATCCTGATTAGGTTTTACCAGGAAACGCATAATATAATCATCTAAGAATATAGACGAAAGATCAGGACAGTTGATATGATCAGTGGTAATCATGCAATTTTTGGAATCGACTAACCTCGGCAAATATAGCATGTTTAAAATCAAATTTGCATATGGATACCTGCAGTTCTTTAAATGTACAAAAAGTAAGACCAAAGCTTACTAACTATACAAGGCTTGAGATATACCTTATGGTTCATAATGAAAAATGTCTACCGATCAATAATGGCAACGCGCTACAGCTGACTAAATCGTCGAAAAATTTGGAAACTTATTCCTAAAAACGGGATCTATCATTTGTGCTACCAGATTTTCACTTTTGGATGAATTAGACTATTAACAGCAGCCTAGACCTAGGCCTTCTAGTCTTATTTATATTTTTTCATATTCAGCGCTTTTTCACATGAAAAGACTGGGACTAGGTGATTTGGGGGCGGGGCGGAGGAACCAAGCCTAGAAGGCCTAGTTGATTTCCCAACAACAAGGCCAAAACTGCCCTGAAACTGCCCTGGTTGCGAAATGCCCAATTATTGCGTTCTCGAACAGAATTATTTGCAACTTAACGGCGAATTTAAACCGATACAGGTAAAATAAACTCATTTATAGTATAAACTTACTATTTTTATTTGTATACACGTCTAGAAAATCGTTTTTTTTATCATAAAGTTCGAAGCAACACTATTATTTAATATGTTGACAAGGTGTAGCGAAAGAACAAAATGAGTCAAAATATATACCAAAAGTAGAATCTTTCATGAAATTTTGTCTTATACACAAGTACATTAATATATATTTTCTCAATTTTGGCAAGAAGCAGTCTTGTGTTTGTAAAATATACAAAATAAAACGGATACATATATTATTAGCCCGTACAGTACTGTATATAAAAACGTACATTGTTTATACAAATGGTATATCTGTAATATTTGAACAATAATTTCAAAATCCTCATTCCCAATTCGCAAATATAGTTATTCAAAGCAAAACAGTAGATTGTCTTGCGAATAAAAGAATTATTATTTTGTGCCGTTTCGCTACACCTTGTCAACATATATAAATAGTGTTGCTTCAAACTTTATGATAAAAAACCCGATTTTCTAGACGTGTATACAAATAAAAATAGTAAGTTTATACTATAAATGAGTTTATTTTACCTGTATCGGTTTAAATTCGCTGTTAAGTTGCAAATAATTCTGTTTGAGAACGCAACAATTGGGCATTTCGCAATCAGGGCAGTTTCAGGGCAGTTTTGGCCTTGTTGTTGGGAAATCCACTAGGCCTTCTATATTTTCGCTTGCGTCAGGCTTGTGTCCTTCCTCCGCCCCGCCCCCAAATTACCTAGTCCCAGTCTTTTCATGTGAAAAAGCGCTGAATATTAAAAATATATAAATAAAAATAGAAGGCCTAGGTCTAGGCTGTATTAACAGGTCAAATATTAAAGAACAAGCGGCTTAGGGCTTGAATGGATCTGGTGTTATATACCGAGGCTCACCTGGAGTGCATGTTGATTTTAATGGCATATATCATTACATATGGATTTGGAAAAACGACTGAAACAAATTTGTATTAATCTCTTCGGAATTAAACCCTTAATGCGATAGAATAGTGGCTACATCTTGCTAATAAGGTGTTTGGTATAAGTAAGTTAGAAGCCTTCGTCTTCCAGGCAGGCACAGGAAGGATCTAGACCGTTGGTGATGATTTGATATTATTAAATGCAAAATATGTGTTCGGCTCATCCCTCGTTTTACATCTATATCGCTTTTTTCCGAACCCATAAAATTATGTTTCATGAAATAGCGAGAATCACTGAGCTCCTCGATCAAATGCAAAGCAATAGTATAACTCGGACGAGTAAACGCTTTTCTGCAAAGAAAAGTTGGGAACTTAATTTTGCGAACGCCATTTGTATATTGCATATATATTAATAGCTGACTGCGACAAATTGAAACTAAATTGCAAAAAGCAGAACCAATTTGTCAAATAAGGAAAAAGTAACACGAGTCGTCCAGGTATTCATTCTGATTCGCAAGAACATGCAAAAGTTCATTTTAATCAGCTATAGCTCATTTTGAAGCTATTTCGTAATGTCCTATTTCTCGTTACGCTTAACTACTTCACGATTCGACGCACCTTTTATCAGCATACAAACATCAGTATATCTGCACAAACGTTGCAATTTGATCATGCATTTTTCTTCGAAACTAATCATTAGTAACATCAAGCTTGTATTTCCGCGCCAGGTAAAGGAATAACATGCAAACATATCTCAAGTTGTTGCACGTAGATATATAATTAAATCTTCTGGAATATCTAAGTTTCACTTTCACATATATGAATGCAAAATCCGATAAGCTGATCTCTAACCAACTGGCTTAGTACTCCCTATTTTCCAATGTGTTAATCAGGGTAAACACAGCTGATGAAGATATAGGATTGATTTGTTGAAACGGTGGTATGGGTCATCAGACCCATGATAATTTGTTAATTTGAAATGCAATTCATATATTGTATACTTATAGACGTAACGTATCCGGGATTTTCGCGTTCCTGCAGGTTGAAATGAACTTACCATGAACCCATTCAAGTAGATAACACAATGAATAATCAGAAAAAAATGAATCTGAAAACTTACCGTAATACTGTGTCATTTTAGCAAGTATGTAGAAAGATAACACGCATGCATCCATGCACCACTGGCGAGGCGTCAAACAACTGACTTTTCATACGAATGCGTAAAAGCCGACGCATGTGTCACGTGAAATGTTAGGGTATAAAAGCGCATGTTCAGTAGTGCGAGCCATATAGATTTAGCTGGATGCTTTATGTGCTGCTTGATCGCATCCTTTCATTTAAAAATGAAAACAGCCGATATTTTTCCACCTTTTGAAATGATAAAAAATATAATGTATTTGGAACATTATTTTCCGCCTATGGGGCGATCTTCCAGAAATGAAAATGAGGGCTAATTCAGTTGTTCAAAACTACAAGAACTTGTTCAAAATATATATATTAAATATAATTAACATAATTATTAATAGTCGTAAATTTTTTGTCCACTCAAGATACACGTCCAAACATAAATATGGGCAAACATCAGCATTCGATGTGTATCTTGGGACAATAACAGGCGGCACTGAATAAATTGGCATGGTCTGTCTTGTTTAAGAGAGATTATTCTAATTTTGACGAAACCGCTTTAGTTAATGATATACAAGCAATTGATTGGTGGCAAGTCTTTTCCGGTAATACCAATACTAATGGCATGTTTAACAGTTTCTATAAAACAGTAACAGAGATTGTTAATGCCCATATACCCATTAAACAAAATGTCAAAAAGACAGCTAAAATGTCAATCTAAACCTTGGATAACACCTGCTATTAAAACTTCTACTAGAAAATACATGCATGCAGAAACCCTCGCCTTACTGACAAAACATTATGTTTTCCGAATATGAAGAATTGAAAGTAGTTGTCATGATAACACGATAATTTTAAGGACAGTTTTAAAATTCCCCCAAAATATCACTTTTAATAACAAAATTATCAATTTCCCAAACATATATATGCTAGGTATGTTATTATACGTAATATAAGCTTCAATTAATTTAATGACAAATTCAACCACAAACGCTTCGCAAAACGTTTTAAAATCTTCTTAAAACTAAACGGCCTTTTATCGAATTATCGCTATAAAACTTTGAGTTTGAAATAAACTGATTTCAAATTCTCGCATGAAAATAACTTTGCTTTCCTCTTTATATAAATACTTTAATATACAAAAGAAAGGGTAATTAATAAAACTACACTGAAATTATATGCTGTCTTTTTTCACTTCTATACGCAATGATAGTAACAGTTCGATATTCGCAGTATCGCCCACCACTATCAGTTATATATATATATATATTATATTATATATATCAATTATAAAACAAACAATACATCAATATCTAAAACAAACTTACCTTAATTAACGTCGGAGACTTTGCTCTATTCTCTTAGACGTTTTAGACATTTTTGGCCTTCAGAATAGTTTTCAAATTTACAAAATCTTGCAAAAATACAACTTGCAAGAAATGTTTGTAATTTCGCTGTCGTCAATGCGGTCGTTACAATGCAAATTTCAAATTTGACCAATCAGTGTTCACTATTCACGACAGTCCGCTACATATTTTGAGATCAGTGAGGATGACCACCCATGAACGGTGAGCCATGCGCCCACGATATATGATGAACTTTAGACTTCGCTAGTGCGTTCCTTCCCCCGGGTGTATATAGCCGAGCAGAATTAATACCCTCGCACGGCGCTTCGCGCCACCTGCTCGGGGAATTAAGAAAAAGAATGACTTGTATAAAATATTTTTAAAACTAAATCTCAGTATTATCATTTCAAATTTAAAACCTACAGAAATAAGATAAATCACCGTCTTAAAATAACTAAAAGAAACTATTACAATGATTATTTTTGTAAAAATAATAATAATATGAAGAAAACCTGGAAAGGAATAAAACAGATTATATCTATGAAATCTCAAGTTAATAATGTACCTACTAAAATAAAGAAAGAGCACAATGAGATAACTGATTCTGATCTGATTGCCAATGTTTTTAATGAGTATTTTGCTAATATTGGAACTGGTCTTGCTGATGAAATTCCTAAAGTAGTTAAATCTCCTTTTGATTACCTAACGTCTCGTTTAACAGAAAGCGTTTATATTTCACCAGTCAGTACTTTTGAGATTGAGGAGAAAATCACAAGACTTTATTGCAATAAATCTTCTGGCCCTTTTAGTACTTCCATATCCATTCTTAAGAAACTAAAATTTGTTATTTCTAAACCTTTAGAAATACTATTTAATGTTTCATTTAAGTCAGGCATTGTTCCTGAAAACTTTAAATTAGCAAAAGTAGTACCAGTATTTAAAAGTGGGGCACGGTCTAATATGGGGAATTCTCGACCAATCTCGCTTCTCTCTGTGTTCAGTAAGCTCCTAGAAAAACTCATGTATAATAGATTGATTGACTTTACTACGAAGAAATCTATACTTTATCCAAAGCAGTTTGGTTTTCGTGAACAACATTCCACAGATCATGCTTTTTTTAGTATTGTTGATAAAATACAGAATTCAATTGACAATCAAGAGTATTGCTATGGAATATTCTTAGATTTTAATAAAGCTTTCGATACAGTTAACCATGAATTCCTTATTCAAAAGCTGGAACATTATGGAATAAGGGGTAGCCAATGATTGGTTTACTTCTTATCTTAGTGGAAGAACCCAAGTAACTGTGTGCGTTGATAGTGGATATACAAAGCAATCAATTTCTTGTGGTGCGCCTCAAGGATCCGTGTTGGGTCCTCTATTATTTCTTATGTATATTAATGATTTTAGTAACTGTCCTAGTGTACAGTACTTGATTTGCATCTTTTTGCAGACGATGCCAATTTATGCTACTCAGATAAAAAATTATCTTTTCTTGAATTGGTCTTAAACTTTGAATTGCAGAAAGTCCACATATGGCTGTGCTCCAATAAGTTATCTTTACGTAAATAAATCAAATTTTGTTATTTTCCATTTATCTCAAAAGATACAGACTTCTACAGTAACATTATCTATAAATAATGAAATACTAAAAGAAGAAAAATGCGTGAAATATTTAGGAATTTATATTGACTCAAATCTTAATTGGAGAAATCAAGTTAATTATATAAAAAAGAAAGTAAATCGTAGCATTGGTATCTTATCTAAATTACGTGAATATGTTAATATTAATATTGTTATAAATCTTTATTATTCTCTTGTATATCCATTTTGAATATATGGATTAATTGTATGGGGTAGTACTTATAATTCTACCCTTAATCCTCTCTATTTATTGCCAAAAAGAGCGCTGAAAATTATTACATTTTCCAAATTCGATGAACACTCTAGCCCTCTTTTTAAACAAACTAAAATAATAAAATTTCTTGATCTTGTTGTTTTTCTTATGGGAATATTTATGCATAAATATCATACTAATGTATTTCCGATCACATTTGAAAATTTTTTTGTTCGTGTTAGCGAAGTTCACAACTATAATACCAGACTTTCAAGTAAGATTTCTTACTCAATTCCAGTGGTAAGGACTAATATGGAAAATCTAACATTCGATTTCAAGGTGTAAAGGTGTGGAACGATATTGATGAACCCAGTCTGACTTGTTTCTGCTGCCTGATCTTATTAGCCATTATGGTTATTACAAGTAGCAGGTACACTTCTTAAATATTTTTTCTCATATAATTCAAAAAATGTAAATATTTTATTTTTGAGTACAATAAATCTTCTTTGTTGTTGTCGTCGTCGTCGCCGTGGTTGTTGTTGTTGTTGTTGTTGTTGTTGTCGTCGTCGTCGTCGTCGTCGCCGTGGTTGTTGTCGTTGTTGTCGTTGTTGTCGTTGTTGTCGTTGTTGTCGTTGTTGTCGTTGTTGTCGTTGTTGTCGTTGTTGTCGTTGTTGTCGTTGTTGTCGTTGTTGTCGTTGTTGTCGTTGTTGTCGTTGTTGTCGTTGTTGTCGTTGTTGTTGTTGTTGTTGTTGTTGTTGTTGTTGTTGTTGTTGTTGTTGTTGTTGTTGTTGTTGTTGTTGTTGTTGTTGTTGTTGTTGTTGTTGTTGTTGCTGTGGTTGTTGTTGTTGTTGTTGTTGTTGTTGTTGTTGTTGTTGTTGTTGTTGTTGTTGTTGTTGTTGTTGTTGTTGTTGTTGTTGTTGTTGTTGTTGTTGTTGTTGTTGTTGTTGTTGTTGTTGTTGTTGTTGTTGTTGTTGTTGTTGTTTGTGTCGTTGTGGTGTCGTTGTCGTTGTTGAGAAACGACAAACTAATGGGTGGTTGTCCCATTGGGAATCAAGTTACCAATAGAAATAAACACGATAAAGCTGATCTGGCAGTATAAATAATGGAATATGACAAATGCATTTGTGTGTACAATAATTCCAACACCTGATTTAAAGTAGAGTAATTTGCAGGCAGTTAATTTTCCTTTACGTCAGAACATTTTTTAAGATATACCGCATACTGGTTTTAATTTGTGCAGACGGTCGCCATCAATCGAGAATGGACAGCCCATATCAGCTTCAGTTTGCCTTGCATGTTGTGGAACTTGCCTAATGGGTGTGTCAACATCCCCACTTGAGCGGTCCAGAGCAACAACTTGGTGGTTCAATCAGAATCTATAGGAGAAGGGGGGACTAAATTCGTGTTGACCATGCACGAGTCACCAGAAGAAAACCCTTCTGCATGGTCGTGAGAATTTTTTTAGACTTTTCGGAATTAGACTAAAAGGAAGGAATGAATGAAAAAATCCATTCGCCCATGATACACTTAAAGCATCTGCCATTGTAGGATGTTTACGCTAACGGTTTATTCCACAGTTGCCAACAGACAACACTACGTACGTTTTAGTAAATTTTTCAGAGAGTTTCTGATAAATATCCGCCATTTATTATCTGATAAGTGTTTTCTAGACAGCAAATCTGCAACTACATTGCTGGACCCGGAATATAATTAGTCATGATCCAAACATTTTGGGAAATGCACCATTTCCAAATCTTTCAGGCCACTGTATCACAAGCAGCAGACGTATATCCCCCATGTGATTAATTTAACTAGTTGCAGTCGTATTGTCTATAACTCAAATTCAAAGTGTGCTTCAGAATTTGTCCTTGCAAAATATTGTTAGACATATAAAAAACAACAATACAGTTCCCTTACGTTATGGGGTAGTTTGTTCATTTGACCAAAACACCCTGAGACTGTAAATTAGGATTAGTGTAGTGATTAGGGTAAGTTCAGTCCCAGCAAAGATCACTGGCATCAGACTGAAAGATATGGGAAATGCATGATTGGGAAATGTATAGTTCTCTGGAAGCATGCTTTACATTTATAGACAAACCATTACTGCCTCAGAAAAGCTCATGTGTGCTTTATAATTTCCACTATTCCGTGCAAGAGATTCAAATTTATCGCGTTCAAGATCTATCACAGATAGTGCATCCTATAGCTATCAAACTCAACACCAGCGAGAGCAGATATAAGTGTCCCTGTGAGACTATAGCTACTATTCTAATCTAAGTGCAGTTCTGTGTAAAATTGTACATAAAACACTGAGATATCAGTCTGCTCCAGTTCGTCAAACGCTCAACCCAGAAGATAGCTTAGTCCTAGAAGAAGCTCAAATACCGACAAACGATGTACGAGTGATCTTGCCAGCTCAAGTTGGAGTCAAAGCCACCGTTGGAGTCAAGGCAGAAGTTTGCCTGCGTAGCAGGTGTTTGATTCGGGCGGGAGAAGAGAGGGAGTCGCTAAATAAAAGCCTGCCCAAATGCCTATGATTAATTTGTTCTTTTCCGAAAAATCTTCGGAAAAGCTTCCCATTGGTCAATCTTGTTAAAGGAAGTAATTACGTAACTCAAATGTCAACAACTTTGCCCGCGTATCGAAAATATGCCGCCTGTTAATGCTTTCGAGGGAACTCTTATATTTCAAGCATTTAGGCTTCGAAATTCAGTTGAAACCAGAATAGAGAAAGTCTATTATTAATTGGCTACGTGGTGAAGACGCCGGTTATCGCGATTCTTCCTACGGAATACGAAAAATCGGCAAATCAAAGCTTGCCCGAGCAGGGATCGAATATTCCTTATACTGTTATAGTTGTCTTGTTATTTTGTCCACTTTAAAGTAAAATTCAAGACCAGATAGTTGAGGCTACATCACTTGGCATTGCAGCTATGAGGTTGGATGATGATTTTAGGAAGAACATTTCAAAACATGATCAACTGTTATTTGCAGCTAATTTGCTATACGGCAGAATACGTTAAACAACCGTGGTTGAGGAGCCTTTTAAAAGATAAAAGCTCTGTGTTGCGACTTTTGTCTAAAATAGCTTCAAAAACTCATTAATAATTCATGAGGAAACACACAAAGAAAAATCATAAACGTGTATCTTTATATGTGATAGAGATTTCCCTTGATTTATATAAACTTTAACTTTGATTTCTCTACATACACAACGAATTTTTTGAAAGCTATTTTGCCAATGAACTTATACTAGATCGATCGTTTTTGAACAATTTAAAACATTCGCTGTGCGTGTTTTATCAGACCATCTTTATATCTGATAAAACACTGCTGCTCATGTTTTCAATAGGGGATAAAATCTCTGCAAATCTCCCTAGTTGCGAGCTTTGCCAGCAAAAAGCATGCACGATGCTAAATATAAATCTCGACTATGATTGGATAATGGGTGAGGTGCTAATTACAAAACGTCAATCATCCGTAATGGGCGAAAACAAATTTGTCATAGCCATTTGGGCAGGCGTTTCCTCTTTTCCCGCCAGTACTAAACGCCTGTGCTACGCAGGCTAGGCAGAAGTCAAAGCAGACGTTCAACCGACAGCCCATGCAGGTCGGTTGCGGTATGTTTGGTATTCTTAATCTCTTTGGTGATTTAGCGATATAATCTTTTGGTTAGGCTGGTTAGTCGGGCGAGGCCGAACAATTTGGGGGTTTTCGAACCCAGCTGATTGTAACCTGAAGTTCAGACCCTAATCACAGAATAGGGCCTGACACAAAACCTATCTAAACTGTGGGATTCCCGTCCACCTGGTGGACGGGAAATCTGATTGGTTGATCAGCATCATGAAGGATTTTGATTGGTTGCAAGTTCACATAAACAACAGTTTTAAAAATAGCTCGGTCAAGGCGAGAATTAATATAAAGGTCTAACGCACGTAATAAATTCCATTATCGATTTCTTCGAATTTCTTTTCTTTTATGCTTTATGGCAGAAAATAAATTAAACAAACAGTATTTTGAAAGGCTTCATCAAAATCTTTGACGAATTTTGGACGCACACGACGCTGAATGAACAGCCAAACTACTCATGTATTCGAAAGCTTGTTGTTGACAGCCAAGATGTTCTGCCAACTGGCTTCGCCGGAAAAAGTCTTATTTTTAATATCAGGTCCTACCGGCGTTGTTTTCTGAGCTACAACGCCTTCTTCGTGGTATGATTGAGAATTTCATTGTTGCTGTTGTTAGCCCGTTAATAGTCGTTAGAGTACTGATCCGCGTCCAGCAAGTTGAGACCTTGAGAAAGCTTGGCAGTCAAGCCGCGCACAGAACTGACTAATTAAACCTTTGTTTGCTGTTCGCCTGTTCGGTTAAATAGAGAAACTGACTCTTAATTATATAAAAGTACCTTGAATTTTTAAGTTTAATTAAAAAGCAAAATGCTCTGCGGACATGTTCATGAAATATAAATTTTTGTGTAACGAAATCTACAACACTTGTCAATCATATTGCATGTGTGTCTAAAAATAACAAGTGGGCGTCCCACGGTCTAGACAGGTTTTGTGTCAGGCCCTATTTCAAATTAGGGCCTGAACTTCAGGTTAAGCTGATTGGTACTCGCGAAGACCAACATGTTGAGTCCAATACTCCAACACGAAATTGGATAGTTTGCTTTTCTGGAAGCTGTTCGTCCAGGCGGGATAAGTATTCGAAGCTCATACGGTCATGGACGTTTCGCTTGTGGTCGCGCTTAGGCTTCATTTTATCAGTGTAATTTTGTGAATTGTGACTTTCTGTGGCCTGTATTTGCGTTGGCGACTAAATTTGGCTGCATCAAGTTGTCCATAACACGACGTCTATTAGGTTTTCGCACCTGTAAATGAGTCTGGTTGTGGGCCAAAACAACGCTGAGTTTCAATTGTACTCGAATTTTTAATTCACGGCTACGGATGTACAGGTTGAGCAATGTTTGGACTTTTGAATGGGTTCCTAATGAAAATTAATCGTGGAAGTAAAAGAACATCTGGGAACCCGAGGCTTTACAGACAATTTACAGCATGCATTATTAATGCAACAATATTGAATATTGTCATGGGTGATTGTGGCTGCCATACCAAAGTATTGAATGATTGAGAAATATATACTGACTTATATAATGCGAGAAATATATGTTGAATGACTGAGGTTCGTGGGTCATTTATTCTAAATCTCCTATTAAGTCTTCTTCTCCCAATTGATAACTATGTCAAAATGATAACTATGTCAAAATACTGCGAGCCTCGTTTTCATGAATTATGAAAAAGGAAATTCATTTGTCATCGAGAACGAGCCTGGCAAGCAAGGAGAGATTTCGGAATAATGTAACGATGTCATTTTCAAAAGGGTGTATTACATGCCCATGCACTAATAATTCAAATAATAATATGTATTGTAATATTACAGGGAGAAATTTGTAAGAATTCCCATGTTATTTTAGGCTCTCCTCCCCAATAAAACCTTCTCTCAAACATTCGTGAAATAAATAAGCTTTCTACTCAGGGAGCTTACATTAGAAATAACAGTAATTTTTAATTAGTCAAGCAATTGAATGTTGCCATCTTGTAATTGAGGGTTTCTTTGTGTTGTGGTTGCTAAACGGTGATGATTTAATTTGTTATCAACACAAGTTTTGCATATCCTCATCTCTTAATCTCGCTCTATCCAGACAAATATACCCTAATTTTTCTAATGCTCCTGCTTCCTCGTTTTACTCTGTCTAATGGCAAACAATTTTAGATGCAAAAGGGCAATTGACGGCGCTTATTTGGCTGAGATGATCTGACTAGGTCTGGATCGAATGACTGCTTCGTTTCCAACTCTCTCAAGGAATGTTAATTAACCTTTGTTTTGTCTCTAACTTGCTATGTGGTATAGACGGCGTGTAATTTTCGTTAGCCGTGAGGTTTTCATATATTTATCGCTACAAAACTCAACATTTTACAGAAAATCCCCTGTTTCTCAAAACGTTTTTCTGTTCGTTCTGTCCTCTGACCTCTCTATTTTTAATGTTACTGGACAAAGTCTATATCCCAGTCCGTTCGCGGTTATGTGCACAATTAACATAATACATTTAAATAAATTAACATGAACTATATGAATAAACTGTCCACAGTCCAAAACAGAATGTTTAACTAATAAACATATTTTGAGAGAGGCTGCAAGATAGAAAGGAATGTAACAGTGGCTATATGTAACTTGGAAGAATAGCGTTGTTAATTGAAATATCCTTACACAGATCACATTATATATTTTATTTTATTTTATTTTATTTTATTTTATTTTATTTTATTTTATTTTATTTTATTTTATTTTATTTTATTTTATTTTATTTTATTTTATTTTATTTTATTAATTAGCTTTGCCTTAAAATAACTTTAAAATTAAAGACAGGGAGTCCGCAAAGCGCTATAGCCAATTACTGCGGACCCACTGGACTAAAACGTACTTAAATATACCGCGACAAGTAATCCCCAAGCCGACGACGGGTAGCGCCGTGCGAGGGTATTAATTCCCCCCGGCTATTTACACCCGGGGAAACGAAAGCATTAGCGAAGTCTAAAGTTCATCAATGATCGTGGGCGTGGGTGTTCGAGTGTTGGGTGTGTGGTCATCCTCACTGATCTCACATTTTTGAAAGATTTTGTAAATTTCAAACGCATTCTCAGAAAGAAAGGGGGAAAGAATCGGCTAAAAGAAGGGAGCCTACGTTAACGAAGGTAAGTTTGTTGTAATTATTTAAATATTCATTTTATAATTGCTTTAAAACCTGACGGCCTTAATTTGCCGTATATGAAACAACTAAACAAGAGAGCAGATAATTTCAGTGTATCTTTAATATTGATTTCCTTTTTATTATATTGAATTTTTTAAATAAAAAAAGTAAATTTATTTGCATGCGAGAATTTGAAATCATTTCATTGCAAACTCGAAGTTTATCGATAAAAGCCACTTAATTAATTTAAAAGCAGTTTAGTTTTATAAAAAAAACTCTTTAAAACGTTTTGCGAAGCGTTTGTGGTTGAATTTTACCTTAAATTGAAGCTTATATTACGTATAATAACATAGATATACCTAACATATATATGTTGGGAAATTGATAATTTTGTAATTATTAATGTATCGATCAATTCGAAACTTCATCATTCCCCCTCCCCGGGCCGACTCCGGGAATTTGGACTTTTTGAAATTTGACTGATAAAATTCTCCACCCCTGTGCAAAAATGTCTTCAAATGCCCCACTGTAACAGTAAATACAAAAAGTACAAAATATATGGAAATGTTTTTCGACACGATAGCGAAATTCACGTAAAAAATTTGGATACCTTGTGGAAATTTAACAGTTTTACACAATTATGTAGTACATACCTTCAAATGAAGCACATAGATTTTCCATTCCCGTTTCTTTGAGCCAGTTTTTCACAAAATTGAGGCCGTTTCCCTCGAATTCTGAGAAAACTGTAGTTGCCGCCAATGCGAAGTATTTCAGTGTGCATGCACTGGGAAGCACGCGAAAAAGGGGCAAAATTTTAAGACTGCCGGTTCAAATTCCCCACCCCGTTATCAAATGCCCCACCACATGGAGGACCTAGAACGTCAAATTCCCTACTCCCTGGAGAAGACTTGAAGTTAAATTCCCGGGGTATGCCCGGGGGGGGGGATGGTGAAGTTTCGAATTGATCGATACATAAAAGTGATATTTTTAGGCGATTTTTCATTTGTATGAATATTCTTAAAAAATTATCGTGTTACCATGACAAATACTTTAGACACTTCATATTCGGAAAATACAATGGTTTTGTCAGCAAGGCGAGGGTTTCTGCATGCATGTATTTTCTAGCATAATATACACCAAGTGAAAATTTTTGCTCAAAACAAGTAAAATTATTCTTGTCAGTATAGTAAGAATTTTTGTCTAGACAAGAATTTTTTCAGGGACTGTTTTACTTAAGACAAGCATAAATATTCTTTGAGTAAGAATAAAAAAATTCTTAGGCATAGAAAAATTCTTATTTTAAGTAAAAATGACCTCACTTTCCTATACATGCAATATACAGCTTTGATTGAGATTATGACAGTCATGTAGCATCTTTCATAAAATATAAATATATTAGCACATCTTACAAAATTTATATGATCTAATAACTATATTTAAATATTTAATTAAAAACGATATACAGGGTGTATCAAAATAAACGCAATTCATCTTTTGTGCTTAATAACTTTCGAAATACTACTTCTAGTTAAACGCTTTTAGGCTTACTTCAAAGCCTGTTCTTTTCTCTTTCAAACAAACTATTATCCTTGTCTCCAAT